CGACGCCATCGTCGTTGTCAGAAGACATTTGGTTTCCGGACAATAACTTTAGTAAAAAAAAAGGGAGAGGGGTAAAAAAAAATTTTTTTTTAGGGGGTTCAATACGCAACAGCATAGTGTATTGCACAAAAGCAAAAATAAGGGGGGGGTAATTTTTTTGGTTTTTTTTTTGGGGGGGGGGTCAATTCGCAACAGCATAATGTATTGCACAAAATCAAAAATAAGGGGGGGTAATTTTTTTTTTTGGGGGGGGGGGGGGGGGGGGGGGGGGTCAATTCGCAACAGCATAGTGTATTGCACAAAAGCAAAAAATTGAATATAAATTCAAATCATATAAAAAATTCTAAGCTATTATGTGTCAAATATTTAATTACAATCCAAATTCAGACCTGTATCAAGCGCGAATATTGTGTCCATTTTTGCCCCAACTGTTCAGGGTTGGACCTCTGCGGTTGTATCCAGCTGCGCTCAGCGAAGCATTTTATTATACAATTTTAAGAAACGGTCGTCTCGATTTTTGTACATGTATTTGCGGTCTTCTCAATCTAGTCACATTCAATGTTTACATGAAGATATGTTCCGTTTGAATTTGCTTAGTAACTTAATTTCAAAAGTGCCAATCTTTGCTGCATATCAATCGATTCCTTTGGAATTTTTTCCCTGACTTTCTCTGATCTAGCTGTATATATATACGGATAGTTAGCATGTTCCAGAGAGGTATACAGCCAGTAGAAAAATAAATTGAAGTTGGTACTCCAAGAATTTTATTCGCATAGCAACATTTTAAACCAATTTTACATCAAGCTTTTATAGCCTGCTGTACTCGTCGTTTGCTACTTATGGAGGGATATGATAACATTAAATGGAAGTTTTGTTTTTATTTCAACTTATTTCTATCTTTACTATTTACCAGAACGTTTTCCCGTGAATTCATAATTGATAGCATCCTTGCTAAAATGGGACAAACATTGAGAAGATCTAGTTAATTGGATTTTCGAAGGAAAAAATTGGTTATTGATTTGGGGATGTACAGCGGGTGGGCGGGCATGCGGCTGCCAAACAGTGTTTGTTCATTAACATGAAAACACTTTGACTAAATTTTCTCAAATTTAGATATGTTGTTTCCTGTGACTAAATGAAGGTCAAGTTCAATTTTCATGATTTTAGCATTTCTTGTTGTTGAGTTTTAGCCTTTTCAGTAGCCAAAAGTGGTACTTATTATGTGATTGAGTTATTTCCCTTTGAACAGAAATGGTTAATTATACATATAAAGTTTGATTACACTAAGAGTTTTTAAATAATTTTCACCTGTTATCAGATAACAAGGCATGTGGTAAATATCAATCACAGAATTATAATTGGAGTGACAGATTTAATTGAAAATTTTCTGTTTCCTAAGTGTTGATGATTATAAGCTCTGTAGGACAGTATAAATATAGAATTTTTTTTCTTTTCTTTGGTAAATTGTTTGAAGAATTTTGTGGTAGGTTTGTTTGTTATTCTGTATAAACTAACTTCTGAATGCTATATATATTTTTTTTTTGATGAAGTGAACTCCTTTTAAAAACTAAGCTTATATTGTCTATTATTGTCATATATTTAGATTTTTGATTTTGGGACAGTTTCAAGTTGGTCCAAATCGGGGTTCAAAATTTAACTGTGTTTGATTTCAACATAAATTGAATATTTATAGGGTTCTTTGCAATGCTGAATCTAAACCTGTATTTATTTTCATTATTAATTAGATAATACCACAATGAGGTCCAAAGGGTCCTAAATTAAACTTTTGTTTAATTTCATCAAAAATTGAATTCTTTGGGTTCTTTGATATGCTGACTCTAGCAATGTTTTAGTGGTTAAATCATATCTAATTTTAGAGAACTATTTTTGTTGTTTACATAACTGGTTCATGGAAATAAGTTTGAGTTATTTCCCTTTGAACAGAAATAGTATATGGATTTTAGTCATTAGTTGTCAAAAATTTCTTTATAACTATTTTTTTTAAGTCATGTGTGTTATGAAGGTAGATGTCACAGTTGTTATGTGGTATTTTATTTTTGTTGTGTGTGTTAATGTTTAATTTTTTTAATTGATCCTGTTTGGGGGTTCAGATTTGCAAATATCATTTTCATTATTAATTAGATAATAATCTATTTTAAATATTCAATCACAATCCAAATTCAGAGCTGTTTTAAGCTTAAATGTTGTGTCCATACTTGCTCAACCTTCAGGGTTCAACCGCTGCAGGGAAATCCGGTTTGCTGTCACTCTGACAGCCTCTTGTTTTCAGTGATTTTTTAAGACTGAACTAAAATGCGAGATTAATTATTGCTATTTCATGAAAAGCTTCATGCAGATATATGTGTCTGATATCATTATGTGAGTTCTTATTATTGCGATATTTACCCACAGTGGGAAATCTAGTGACAAAGTATTACCTTCCCTGTAAACACTGAAAACTAGATCTTCTTAATGTTTTTCCCATTTTAGCAAGGACGCTATCAATAAGTTCCAATTGGAAAATAAAAGAAAACTGTTTTTTTAAACTTAAAAAGGCATTTGCAAAAAAAACTTTCAGTCATTATTTTGCAATAGGATATCATAACAGAATACTGTAAATTCAGAAGTTATTGCAAAATAATCACTGAAAATTTTTTTTGCAAATGCCTTTTATACGACCGCAAAAAAATTTTGTGGTTGTATATTGTTATGACGTTTGCATCGTCGTCGTTGTCGTCGTCCGAAGACACATTGGTTTTCGCACTCTAACTTTAGTTTAAGTTAATGGATCTCTATTAAATTTTACCATAAGGTTCAATACCACAAAAGGATGGTGGGGATTGATTTTGGGGGTTATGGTACCAACAGTTAAGGAATTAGGGGCAAAAAGGGGGCCAAAAATAAGCATTTTTGTAACTTCCAGACATAACTTGTGTGTTAGTGTATGGATCTCTCTGACATTGCACCACAAGGTTCCATATCACAAAGGGAATGCTGGGATTGATTTTGGGGGTAATTGCCTCCAAATTTTAGGAATTAGGGGCAAAAAAGGGGCAAAAAACAAGCATTTTTCTAGTTTCATGACAATAACTTGTGTGTAAGTGTATGGATCTCTCTGACAATGTACCACAAGGTTCCATATTACAAAGGGAATGCTGGGATTGATTTTGGGGGTAATTGCCTCCAAATTTTAGGAATTAGGGGCCAAAAAGGGGCAAAAAACAAGCAGTTTTCTAGTTTCATGACAATAACTTGTGTGTAAGTGTATGGATCTTTATGAAATTGTACTACAAGGTTTCATATCACAAAGGGAAAGCTAGAATTGAGTTTGGGGGTAATTGCCCAAAACGTTTAGGAATAAGGGGCCAAAAATAAGCATTTTTTTTAGTTTCCAGACAATAACTTGTGTTCAAGTGTATGGATCTCTCTGAAATTGTACTGCAAGGTACCATACCACAAAGGGAAGGCTGGGATTTGGGGGTTATGGTACCAACAGTTAAGGAATTAGGGGCCAAAAATAAGCATTTTTGTAACTTCCAGACATAACTTGTGTGTGAGTGTATGGATCTCTCTGACATTGTACCACAAGGTTCCATATCACAAAGGGAATGCTGGGATTGATTTTGGGGGTAATTGCCTCCAAATTATAGGAATTAGGGGCCAAAAAGGGGCAAAAAACAAGCAGTTTTCTAGTTTCATGACAATAACTTGTGTGTAAAAGAGGGACGAAAGATACCATAGGGACAGTCAAACTCATAGATCGAAAACAAACTGATAACGCCATGGCCAAAAATAAAAAGACAAACAGACAAATAATAGTACAGATGACACAACATAGAAAACCAAAGACTAAGCAACACGAGTAAGTGTATGGATCTTTATGAAATTGTACTACAAGGTTCCATATCACAAAGGGAAAGCTAGAATTGAGTTTGGGGGTAATTGCCCAAAACGTTTAGGAATAAGGGGCCAAATAGGGGCCAAAAATAAGCATTTTTTTCTAGTTTCCAGACAATAACTTGTGTTCAAGTGTATGGATCTCTCTGAAATTGTACTGCAAGGTACCATACCACAAAGGGAAGGCTGGGATTGAGTTTGGTGGTGATGAATCATAAGGGGGTTCAAAAAATTTTGGGGGGGGGGATTTTTTTTTCCTTTTTTTTCTTTAAAATTTTCCATTTTAAATTGGTTATTTCTGATTTATATATAAAAGCGAATAATAATGATATGGTTTGAATAGGTAAATTAAAAAAATTTCAGTTCTTAGACCACATTCATTCTGTGTCAGAAACCTATGCTGTGTCAAATATTTAATTACAATCCAAATTCAGTGCTGTATTAAGCTTGAATGTTGTGTCCATACTTGCCTCAACTGTTCAGGGTTCGACCTCTGCGGTCGTATCAAGCTGCGCCCCAGCGGAGCATTTTATTCAGTTTAAAAAACATTTTTTTTTTATTTTCCAATTAGAACTTATACTTACATTCTAAGATATTGTTTTGTATCATAAGCTATAAAATATCACTGAAAGCAATAATCTAATTAAAAAAAAGTATTGATCATTTTCACTTTCTTCCAAATGTGGGTGTTACAGTCCTTGTCAACCTACCTTGCAGAACCTTCCTTTTGCATCATTTGTTAATTTGTTCTTGTCCTGAATATGCATGAAACATTTGCCACTAGACATTAGGCAAACAATGACCAATTAATCAAATGAAATGGAGTAAATTAAGGCGACAATAATCTACAGATTTTCAAATCTCATAAATCAATTATGAAGGAAAATCCTTGTAAGGTTAATTTTTCTGATATTTTTAAAAAGAACTAAAATGCTTTTTGATTCAGTGAATTCTTGATTCATGCATAATTTCTTAAAGCATCTTTAAAAATAAGAAAGTCATAACATTTTAAATGCAAGCATGAATCAGACTGAAGAGCTAAATAAAATTGTAATGTTAGAATTTTAAAAATATCTGCAGAAAAAAGATAATTTTATTTGTAGATTGGTTTCCTGAAACAAAAAATTCAAGAAGTAGCTGGTGAGGAATCTTATATGGGAGAAACAGTACCACTAAAATGGCTGAAGTTTGAACAGGAAGTGTTGAAACTGGTAGAACAAGGAACCAGTTATGCATCTTTTGACCAGGTACATTTGTATATGTGAAAGGAAACACAAAGCAAACACTAAAGGGATGTCGAAACCTTCATAATCAAATTGAGACATACAAGCAACCTAGATGAATCATGATAAAATATGATTGAGTGAAAAATTTAATGATATGGGTAGATGTGCATGAAAAAAAATGAATGAAATAGTTAAAATGCAAGCAAACAGTGTTTTAGTTCAACAAAAGTCAAAGTTTAAAGCTCATATAATATAACACCAAGGATCATTTAAACTAAGTACATGTAGAAGTACTTGAGTAAGTAGTGTATTCAGCAAAATAGTTGAAAGAACCTAGATTTCATAATTCATTAATTTCATCATTAATTTTAAGCTTTTAGCAGTTTTATGGTTATTTAGCATTATGTTCCAGTAACCGATCAATAACAGCCTGATCTTATAATTTTACTACATCTGCTTGGTGACTAGATATATATTATACCTAGAAATCTGTATTTTATATAATTTATATGTAGCCATAAATAACATAATATTTTGATAATTGATTAAATAAAAAAAATACCATAGCAGAAGTATAATACAATTAACGCTTGTTGTCTCGAACTCGATTGATCGAAATTTCTTATGAGTCGAAATTTTCCCATGGTCCAAAACTTTGTTCCATATAAATACATGTATTTCAACTCCTGAGGAGTTGAAATTAGATGAGTTGAAATTTCGGTTGACTCGAACCAATTTACGGTCCCAAGGCTAACAAAAGTATTCAAATTGCATTATTTATCTCGAACTAATACACATGTCAAAACATGACCTCACGGATTTAAATGGATTGAAGAGTTCATCTGACAATACACCTGTAATCAAATTTCTGGTCATTGACCATTGTATAGATTTATGACATTCTTTCTCCACTAGTGTTTACCTAAGATTATCTTTGATCACGGTAATAAATAATTAGCAATACATTGTTATAGCTGATTATGAAAAATATTTAGAATGTTTTATAAACAATTAACCGTAATCAAACATTGGTTGTGCATAAAGTGAGGATTAAGTGATCAACTCAAAACTGCTCAATTGCTGTCACATTTTCTCTTTCACACGTTGCAGAAAAAGATCGAAATAAAAGAAAATGAAAAGAAATTTTAATTTTCTAAAATCTCTTGTATACGAGAATGAACAACTTTGACAACTTAAAAAATCATAAAATCAATTGAAAATTCAGCTAAAAACCACATGCAAAATTGTTACTGTACAAAGAAATAACTGGGAGACGAAAAAATGTTTAACTTTATTATCATAATAACAGACACATCAGTTGCAGTCCAGAATATCGATCCCCTACCAATATTCATCCTGATTTATTTTAGCCTTACCAAGCTAAGCAAGAGTTGTGTCCCTTGGTTTGTCAATCTTCTGGTATTCGTTTGAGTGGAACTACGGGTATCTCGAAATGTTTCTCTGGTCTGGATGACTTTGACTCAACGAGAGTGGACTATTTAAATTAAACCAAGTAGTAGCACTTTTCACCAAATGCAAATATTTTTGTTTTTTAGGTCATGGAAGTAGCCAATACCATAGGAATAAACACCAAGAAAGAATTTGAAACCATGTTGGAATTCTATCATGATTTGGGCGTGATTTTGTATTATGGTGGATCTGGGTCATTAGACAGTTTGCTGTGTAATACAATCATTCTAAAACCACAGTGGCTGGTAGATATGTTCAAAAGAATTGTAACTGCAAAGCCTCCTAATGATAAGGTAGTTAAATCTGACAAAATTATATTTTTTTAAAATTAATAATTTGATGCTTCTATTGTATTTTTATTTGAATTTAAGTGTTGTCCTAAGAACATTTTGTATGAAACACAGAGCTATTCATACAAATTTCTTCAAATAACAGACATTGTGTGAAGAACCATCACCCATGTCATGATATTTAACCAATAGTTATTAAACAAAACAAAACTAAACATTTGTAGGCATTAATCATGGGAATCAATTTTCTTCAAAATTGCATGATTGTTTTATGAACTGGTACTTAAAAAAGTTAAGGAATCACCTCATGCTGTATGAAGATAGTGCTCCTCCACCCTTGAATTTAAAGCATCACCCTTGGATTTTCAGCACCCCTCTTGATTTTCTTAAAATAAACCTTCAATTTTGAGATTATATGAGATAACTAGATATATGTTTTTGATATTTGTTTTTTGTCAGATAATTAAGATATATACATTTTAGTACATACATATAAATGTATTAAAGGTATTGCAAGAGGTGTAAAGTTTCTAAATATTTTAATATGGTTAAAATAATTTAGTTGTAAGCTCCACCCTTGCATTTTTTTTGTCTTTTGTGATTCCTGGTTTTACTGCAATATTCTTTATTTATATTTAGTGGAATTTATCAAAAGACAAATGGAAGATGTTAAATGAAAAAGGAAAATTAGATGAATCATTGATTGACAGTCTGTGGAAGGATGTAATTGATGACAAACCACTATTGTTAGGGCTGATGGAGAAGTTTGACCTAATTTGTGAATGTCTATCCATTGAGTCAGAGGTAAATAATATTATTAGTATAATGCATTCACCTTGTCATTGTCTTTGTTTGTTCATTCTTCCAAAAAATATTATCTTCACCCTTTCCAAGAAGTTCTTCCTGTTTGCTGATACATTGGATTACGAGTTGTGCTTAGAAAGACAACACTGGGAACATCTAGTTTGATCTGATTTAATATGTGAATTATATTTACAGAAACATTTTCCAAAACAATACAACCCAAATAAAATATGATAAACTGTAAGAATAAGAATGGGTCACATAAAAATTAATTTCAGACTATAGAGAGCATTTACAATGGATTAATTTTATTTGGGGGTACCAATTTCGTGAATATTCCTGAGTAAAGATTGATGAACCATGGATTAAAGGCTGAGGGCTTAACAAAGTACAAATGTTCTATATGCTTTTTAGCAGACTATTAAAATCACAAAATTAAGTATCCATGAATTCACAAAAGTTGGTACTCAAGAAAACCAATGAATTCACAGTACTGTAAATTCAGAAATTATTGCGTGCATTTATAATTGCGAATTTTGTAGAATGGACTGAAATGCAAGATTAATTATTGCATTTTCAGGAAAAATCTGCATACAGTTATATGTATCAGATATAAGAATGCGAGTTCTTATTATTGCGATACTCATTCAGTCGCATTATTCGCAATAAAAACCTCACAATAATTTCTGAATTTACAGTATGCACTATTAAGTTTCATTTCATTTTTTAGGTTGGATGTACTGGGAAAACAAAGTCAAGATTATTCTACATTCCATCAAGATTAGTGAACAGTCTACATAGTAATACTGATCAAACCTTGTACAAACCACATCCAAAACATGCTGTATTTTACTTCAATTTCAATAAGTATCTACCAGGTAATATTTTCAGTATTTAAAAATTGAGGCCCTTGTTATATTAAAAACTATATTGGTTTTGAGAGTAGAATTTATTTTCATATAATCTTTGAATGCTTATAATTTCATAAGTGAATAGTCTAAATTATGATTGAATGCAAAAACCAAGTTGCACTGTAAACTAGCCCTTTTAAAAAAATGTTTGCTAGTGACCTACATATATTGTCCAAAAATGGTAATTATACCCCACACAATTTTTGCGTCGGGTATAATGTTTTTGACCCGTCCGTCTGTCTGTCCATCCGTCCATCCGTCCGTCAGTCCTGTTCTTGTCATGGCAACTCCTCTGAAACCACACAACAGAATTTCATGAAACTTTATAGATAATAAGGACATACTATGTAGATGTTCATATCGACAGGAAATTATGATTCAATTTTTTTTCTAGGAGTTATGCCCCTTTGAACCTTTTGGCCTCAATATACTACTGCAACAGTTTGTCATCGCAACTCCCCTGAAACTACACAACAGAATTTCATGAACCTTTGTAGATAATAAGGACATACTATGTAGATGTGCATTTTGACAGGAAGTTATGATTTAATTTTTTTCTAGGAGTTATGCCCCTTTGAACTTATTGGCCTCAATATACTACAGTCCGTCAGTCCTGTTCTTGTCATCGCAACTCCTCTGAAACCACACAACAGAATTTCATGAAACTTTGTAGATAATTAGGACATACTATGTAGACGTGCATATCGACAGGAAATTATGATTCAATTTTTTTCCTAGGAGGTATGCCCCTTTGCACTTATTGGCCTCAATATACTACTGCAACAGTTTGTCATCGCAACTTCTCTGAAACCACACAACAGAATTTCATGAAAATTTGTAGATAATAAGGACATACTATGTAGATGTGCATATCCACAAGAAATTTTTATCAGTTGACTTTTGTTGGAGTTATGAGTCTTTGAACTTAGGAATCTGGTGAGATTTTGTTTACCCAGTGACAATGTGGGGGCGTGGGGTATATGAGTGTGCTCACTAAGGTTCTTTGATTTATAAAATATTTGATTTCTCTATACACTTTTGCAGAAGGTTTGTATCACAGGATCATTACAAGAACCATTCGCTGGTGCCAAGAAAGTACTGGTAAAGAGCCTCACAGTATGACAAGAAATGCAGTCAGATTTTATCTTGATCCAGAACATGACTTTGTTTTGGAGTTGCTCCCAAGGAAACTGTATAGTATTAAGGTAAGACATGGATTCTTGCTACTGTATATTCAAAAATTATTGTGTGGATTTATTATTGCAATTTTTGAAAAATGGACAAAAATGTGAGTTTAATTATTGCGATTTTGTCAAAAGCTGCAGATATATGTATGCAAATCACAAGACCATCACTTTGGTACTCACTGTTTTCATTGCACCCAATAATTTTTATAGTCCTTGATTCAGCCAACAAAACAAGAGTTCTGCTTGCATGTTATCGACAAACATGAGGAGATGAGTTTTCATCAAAATCAAATGCTACATTGATTTGTAAGTTGCAATCAGGGAAATTTACAATTTGAATCATCAAAAAACAAATAGGTTTATCCCTTGCTGCTGAAACAAGGATCTGTGATGATGGTGGTCATATTTGTGGAAAACTATGAATATGTTGAGATCATCAAACAAAATATTCTAGGATTTTATCAGTTTTCTACTTGCTGAACAGGTCTTCGAATGTAACACTGGACTTTTCTTTTACATGTTGATTTATCAAATGTGCATTTCAAACGATCAGGCCGTTGTATGCAATTTAAAAGCATCTATGTGAACAAAAATAGTTCAAGGCAAAACTAATTTTGGAGCACCATGCAAACTCAAAAATTACAAAGGGTAATTTTTGTCTCGCCTTGACGGAGTCAAAAAGCGAGACATAGGTATGCTGTTTCTGGCGGCGGCGGCAGCACCAATGTATTAGTTTGTGATAAGGTCTAGTTCATGGTAAACCACTAGTGGTAGGATAATGATATTTGGTATGCGGTTTTAAAGCATTGGCATATCTCATTTCCATGGAGAATATGTGGCCTTGTCCTCTCAGTCATGGTCTATTGACTTTGAAACTTTTGCTTAGTTTAAATGTATTAGTTTGTGACAAGATCAGTTTAAGATGAACCACTAATGTTAAGTCAATGATATTTGGTAGCAAATTTATTGACATTTGCAAGTCTCGTTTACATGGAGATTATATAGCCCCAACCCCTCATCATGGTTTATTCACTTAGAAACTTTTACATAGTTTACAAGTTAATGTTTGTGTTTAGGTTTGTTTAAAGGGAACAACTTATGATAAGTCAATGGTATTTGGTATGCAGTTGTATTACCATTGGCACATCTCATTTCCATGGAAATTGTTTAGCCATGTACCTTCAGTCATGGTTCATTGACTTCGAATATTTGCATAAATTACATGTTAATAGTAATAAAATAACTTTTTCATAATTTCTAAGGTGGTACTAATAAGAGTCACAGACATAAATGAACAGCCAGATACTGAAACAGAAGAAAAAGATGAAGAAATTGAAGAAAAAGTATATATACCCAACATATCTGTATGTGCCAAGGTAGGTTTGTTTTACTGTCTACTTGAATATTGAAAATTTCATGAAAATTGCACTTATCTTAACTTATTGCAATGCCTGCAAATCTGTAGCTAATTTTTGGTTAAATAGTGTATAATGATGATGACTTACAGATCAGTCTGGGTTTTGTTAAAGTTGACTGACTTTTTTTATATTTGGATGCAGACAGGGAATTAATGTGATACAGACAAATCTAGTTTTGATTTAAAAAAAACCCAAAAGAGATGCAAAAAAAAATATGAAAATTAATAACTTCTAAAAACTAACAAAAGGAAATCTTAAAATTTAAAGATTTTCTATTTTGCATTAGGTTCCATATTTATAGAACTTTTCCATTTCCATTTCTGAAATCTATATAACTTTTTTACAGTTAATAAATAAGACTACAATGACAGATCTTTTAGTGAAATTCTATACAAAATGTGTGTGCTTTTGTTTATAGTATGCTGTGTTATAAGATAACATTCCTTAAATAAGAGAAAACTAAAACATAATTCCATATATTTGTTGATTGATAATTGCTTTAAGCCACAAAAGTAAAGAAAGACTATTGTTTTGCAAATTCCATAAAATGTTGCTAAAAATCATATTTGTCATAAATATTTGCATTTGTTTCAGTTAAGAAACTATTTAGAAAGCACTTTATTTGAATTGAAAGAAATTTGGATGAAGAGAATGGTATATTCCACTTGCATACAGTGTCCATGTGATAAATTATGCAGTCTCCATGGTAACCAAAAGTGCCAGAATGTAAATTGTTTACATTTCTTGAATCTTGATGAGTGCCTTACATCAAAGGTAAGCATTTCATTTGAGCTTTGTAGTAACTCCTGCATGTAATGTTACTCATCTTAGTATACTGTAAATTCATTTATTTTCATGGAACCAATTTTCGTGGATTGAGGAAAACTTGCGTTTTCATGGATATTTGATTTCGTGGTTTTGCCAAAGTTAGTATTTATTCCTTAACAATATTTGTTATTTGTTGTACCCCTGTAGCCACATAATCCACAAAAATTGGTATCCAACGAATAATAATGAATCCAGAGTATATGTTATCAATAAAATAGCCACCATTGATGAAGTGAGCTTTTAATGTGTTTTAAAAATTGTTTAAAAAACGTTCTACAAATAATATAAACAAATCTAATTTTCAGATGCAGACTTTCAGTATTGTTAATTCTGATGTATTTACATCTTCATGATCTTTAAATGTTTCATCTTACTGCTTTTTTCACCAAGAAAAATGGGGATAAATTAAAATAATTTCAGTCACTCATAGATATTTGTTGTGTTTTACAATTAAATTTAATGCTCCTTATTTACTGGTTATATATATTATTTACTGACTTCTTTATACAGGTTGTATGTTGTGATTATAGAAGAGTGATTATATATTACTATTTACTGACTTCTTTATACAGGTTGTATGTTGTGATTATAGAAGAGTGATTATATATTACTATTTACTGACTTTTTATACAGGTTGTATGTTGTGATTATAGAAGAGTGATTATATATTACTATTTACTGACTTCTTTATACAGGTTGTATGTTGTGATTATAGAAGAGTGATTATATATTACTATTTACTGACTTCTTTATACAGGTTGTATGTTGTGATTATAGAAGAGTGATTATATATTACTATTTACTGACTTTTTATACAGGTTGTATGTTGTGATTATAGAAGAGTGATTATATATTACTATTTACTGACTTTTTATACAGGTTGTATGTTGTGATTATATATTACTATTTACTGACTTTTTATACAGGTTGTATGTTGTGATTATATATTACTATTTACTGACTTCTTTATACAGGTTGTATGTTGTGATTATAGAAGAGTGATTATATATTACTATTTACTGACTTCTTTATACAGGTTGTATGTTGTGATTATAGAAGAGTAAAAACAAACAACATACAGATTTTTTTCCCACAACCATCGCTCCTTGGACTACAGGGAAACATTCTACCTCAAATAGACATTGAAAAGGGAAATATGGAAAAATACAACGATCAGTTACCAGTGTGGATTAAGGGTGCTGCAAAACTTCTCAGTTCAGGAGATGAAAACCAAGACTGGATGGCTTTGTCAAAACTTATGGGTAAATATATTGAAACTTTGATCAATGTAATTTTTTTTCTCAAATAGGTCATGCTGGCTTTTCTTTCATCACTTGTTTTGTTCATCCTCAGACATTTGAAATAAGATTTGCTTAATCAGAAGGTGGTGTTATTGAAGGAATTTTTTGGATATAAGATGTGATGTTTGCATTTCAATTGAAAGACTTGTCTTGTTTTTTGTATATAGAGACGCTAGTCAAACTGGGACTTATTGATTTGCTATAAATTCAGATGTCTGGTACGTGTCCATCAAACAGCAGCCAAAACATTTTTAAGATTTTTGGAAAATTTTATGGCTGTATTAAGAGATATAAATGCTATGTCCATTTTCAGGTTATAAAGAGGAACAAAGAGATAATTTAATGGATAACATCAATCCAGCTTTAGCACTCCTGGCTGACTGGATCCATGCTGGTGGCAATACAGGATTAGCAGTAGATATGCTGATAGGGTACCTGGAGAAGTTAAATAGAGATGATGTTATTGATGTTATTCACACTGGAAGAGGTAAAAACAATTATTCGCTTTCAAATCAGTTTCTTATCTACCACAGTTTAGATAGATGAGTTTTAATAGTGTAAATAACAGAATCAAAGTTGAAGTTTTAATTCCTGCAAAAAAATATGTTATTGCTGTGAACATTGTTGTTTTAACAATAAGAAAAATAAGGAGTTCACTGGATTCCTTTTTTGTCGAGCCTTCGACTTTTGTCGAAAAACGAGAGATAGCGGTCCTACATTCCGTCGTCGGCGTCCACAAATATTCACTCTGTGGTTAAAGTTTTTGAAATTTAAATAACTTTCTTAAATCATTCTGGATTTCTACCAAACTTGGACAGAAGCTTGTTTATGATCATAAGATAATATTCAAAAGTAAATTTTGTAAAAAAAAATTCCGTTTTTTCCGTATTTTACTTATAAATGGACTTTGTTTTTTCTGCCATGAAACATTACATTCACTCTGTGGTTAAAGTTTTTGAAATTTTAATAACTTTCTTAAACTATCCTGGATTTCTACCAAACTTGGAAAGAAGCTTGTTTATGATCATAAGATAGTATCCAGAAGTAAATTTTGTAAAAAAAAAATCCATTTTTTCCGTATTTTATTTATAAATGGACTTAGTTTTTCTGCCAGTTAACATTACATTCACTCTGTGGTTAAAGTTTTTAAAATTGTAACAACTTTCTTAAACTATCTTGGATTTGTACCGAACTTGGAAAGAAGCTTGTTTATGATCATAAGATAGTATCCAGAAGGAAATCTTGTTAAAATTTTGTTCCATTTTTTCTGTATTTTACGTATACTTATAAATGGACTTAGTTTTTCTTCCAGTTAACATTACATACAGTCTGCAGTTTAAGTTTTTAAAACATTTATTAGATTCATAAACTATCCTGGATTTTTACCAAACTTGGACAGAAGCTACTTACAATCAAAAGATAGTATAGAGAGGAATATTTTTATTAATTTTTTTCCTCATTTTTGTTGAGCCTGCGATTAACAGCAAAAGTAGGCGAGACACTGGGTTCCGCGGAACCCTTACAAATTTTCATTATTTTTGAAGACTTTTATGTACATTTATAGATCAATTTAAACTAAATTTAATTGATTGTATCTCTTGAAGTATAAATGGTACACATATCATTTTTTTTAGATAATCAGATACATTTCAGCAAGTTATGAATAGACACAAAATTTCCCAAGAATCAAAAAGACTACCCAATTATGTATTCTTTGCCTTAAGAGTTAAGTTGTTTTTTTTACAAAATAAGAAACATTTGTTATATAATTGTCTCCCTAATGTAAAAATTTTCTCACAGTATGGAATGTTTCTTAAAATTCAAATGTTTTTAATTTTGACCATTAAAAACTGGCCACAATATAGCCAATAGCTGAATATGGCATTAAAACATAAACAATCAATCAATCAATCAATCAAAGATTTTGATACCTTTTATAAAAATAGCAGAATTTAATGTGTAAATTTTAATTTTGTATAAATCCAACATTATAACTTATCATAGAAATATCTGTCACATAATAATGTTGCTTTTTATTGTACAAAAGAGCACTTTAAAGATCTGGTACTGTTATTTCATTTTATAGCTGATTCCACCCAGGAACCTCCACAAGTGTTCATCAGCTACCAATGGGATATACAAGATGAAGTGAGTCTGTTACGTGATAAACTGGAGAAATCTGGATTCTCGTGTTGGATGGATATCGGTCAGATGGGAGGAGGTGATCAACTCAGTGTTAAAATTGATTCAGGTGTTAGACAGTGCAAGGTATTTATAGATATTTTAAGATTATTTGCCTATAGCTATATTCATGGTCCATTCACTCTCATTCATATGTTAATACTTTTCAAAACCAAATTATTCATTGTAGTTTAAATCTGGTTGAATAAGATTTTTTTTTCAATTCATAAAGATATTTGACTTTTATTTGCAGGTATTTTTGTCATGTCTTACTCCTAAGTACATCATATCACATCACTGTAACAGAGAACTTAGTCTAGCAGATCTACTGAAGAAACCTGTCATACCAATCATGTTTGAGTCAGTATCTTGGCCGCCACCTGGTGGCATGTCTCTTATCTTCTCACAGCTTGTCTACATACAGATGAAAGGTATTAAATATTTTGAAGTTTGTTGATTGAGTTAAAAATCCTTTGTGAATGATTGTGTTAAAAAAACTTTTAAAATGTAACAAGATTAGACACTGACCCATGGGATTCAATGTAAACATTTAAAATAATTTTTCCCTTTAAAAATTTTCAAATTTGCATGCAGATGGGGGCATAATACTGACATATCTAGTCAGTTATACTGATGAAAGATGGGAATTAAATGATTAGTTCTTCATGAAAAATTAATTCAAGACCATCAAAGAGTTACAGAAATCACAATATTGGTATGAATTAACTGTTTCCAAAATTTTTAATTGTTCGAAATACTTACTATTTTTTTCCCCTTGAATAGATTACTTTAGCTGTATTTGGCAAAACCTTTCAGAATTTTTGGCCCTCAATTCTCTTCAACTTTGTACTTTATTTGGCCTTTTAATTTTTTATGCCCTCGCCGTAGCGGAGGGGCATTAAGTTTTACCCTTGTCCGTCTGTACGTACGTACGTCCCAAAGTTGGTTTCCGTTCTCTAACTTTAGTTTGCCTCAACCAAATGTTATGAAACTTATACACAATGCTTATGACCACAAAATACAGATCAAGTTTGAATTTTGGTGGTATCACTTAAACCGTTCTAGAGTTATGCCCCTTTACAAATGGAAAAATGGCTGAATTTTTCGTTTCTGTTCTCTAACTTAAGTTAGCTTAAACCAAATGTTATATAACTTATACACAATGCTAACTACCACAAAACGCAGATCAAGATTGAATTTTGATGGCGTCATGTTAACCGTTCTAGAGTTATGCCCCTTCACAAATGGAAAAATTGCTGAATTTTTCGTTTCTGTTCTCTAACTTTAGTTTGCCTCAACCAAATGTTATGAAACTTATACACAATGCTTATTACCACAAAATACAGATCAAGTCTAAATTTTGGTGGTGTCACTTTTACTGTTCTAGAGTTATGCCCCTTTACAAATGGAAAAATTGCTGAGTTTTTTGTTTCCGTTCTCTAACTTAAGTTTGCCTCAATCAAATTTTATGAAACTTATACAAAATACTTATTACCACAAAACTCAGATCAAGTACAAATTTGGGTAGTGTCAGTTTTACTGTTCTTGAGTTATGTCCCTTTATAACTTTATATGATATGCAAGCGGGGGCATCATCTGTGTCCCATGGACATATTCCCCATTTATTTGATTTGTCTAATGAGTCTTATGTAGATGAAACCCACATCAGGTGTACAAAAATATAAGCTTGGTATCTTTGATGAGTTTTTTTTTATACCACAAGTAATAATTAATTTCCAATAATAAAGATATAAAAAATAAAAAAATTGATGTTACCTTTTTAGGAGTGGGTGGCCATGGAGGATCAGGGATTCATGCTGATTTGAATGACAAGTACAGGGAAATTATACACAAAGTAATGATGTTTGCTCAACCAGATTTGAATAAATACTTTGAAAATGAACCTGTGTTATGCAGTCCTGATGAGGAAGAAGATACACAGAGTCGTTATTCACGAGACTCGCACGAACGTTTGTTACAAGATATCGCAGAAAGATTTAGTGCTAGAAATTTGAACTTGACTAGGGCATATCTTCCTCCAACTATTCCACAACCAGTGGACAATGACAGAGATAATGATCAGCGTGTTCAACAACAAGTTCATGTTAGCAAGTGTTCAGTTTGTATTCTTTTGTAGGTTAGGCCTCATATTTGTTGATCTTTACTTTTTTTCCCACAAAGTGTTTTTGTCAAACGGGTATTTTTATAGTGTTATTTTATTTCTTTAGGGTTTATACATAAGTAAGTGGAAATAAAAATTAGTTTAAAAATAAAGTTTAGACTGGTCAGTTATTTTGTGAAAGTAATTTTATATTTTAATTTTATTTTTAGTGAAAAGTTCTACATTTTTGTTTTATATTTGATTTACAGATTTGATTTATTCAGTATAAGTTTGTATTTTTAACTACAGTTCATATTTTGATTTGTTTCTACAATATTTATACCTAAACACATGTTAATCTTATTATTTTTTCTTTATATTACAAATTTATGATATTACTGACAATACCATTTTTATTGACATTTTTGATATAGTGTTGAATCTTTGAAATTTAATCTTAAGTTGTTTAGATATAACAATTTTCAATTATTAATCAACATATTTTTACTTTAATGAGCATTATAACAGGTGTTAATAGTGGATCAGGAACTATTTACCTTTCTGAATCAACTAAGTTCACCACCAGTTTTAGTGGAGCTCATGTTGATCATTTTTTAGATTCCTGTGTACAATTTTATTTTCCCTTGAGTGCTTTCATTTCTTATATCCAGTGAACTTATAATTAAGGATACTACTGAACTAGAAGGTCCGATTCATATCTTGGTCGTTTTCTTTATATTGACACAGATAGATGACCTCAATGAATAATTCAAAATGTTCCAACTCATTTTGAGTCAGCAACAAAACCAGTATTAGTATGACCTCAGATATCTCTTGTCATTTAATGGTATGATAATGGTGACCTTTTCTGTAGACAAAATGTTTCATTGCCGTGTGATAATTTGTCTTTCTAGTTGACAAGTTTTGTGAAATTTTAAATGCAGTATTTCTTTGTACAAAGCTAATCTGCAAAAATTATTTGGAGGTGTACAACTATACCATTTATGTCAGTAGCAATGCATTGTGACCTTAATGTCACTTTGATATTTGACCTCAGAGTCAAATGACTGATTTTCTTGTCCAATGCATCACTGTTTTATCCTTTGACATATGCTGTTGATATTTGGAAGATGGTTTGGTGGGTGCAACACCTAAAGACAATATGTACAAATCATTGCAGATGACCTCTGACTTTGAGCTTTGACATCTTGGTTGAATAACTGATTTTTGGGTCTGCCCACAAACCATATATTCTTCTTTGCCATGGGGAGACCTTTCTACAGCATCATAGATTTAGCCATTTCCTTAACCGGAGTGACTACGGTACTGTAAATGAAGGGAGGAAATATGGCTGAGTTTCAATAAAACAGAACCTTCTATTTTTTATACGACCGCAAAAAAATTTTGTGGTCGTATATTGGTATGACGTTGGCGTCGTCGACGACGTCGTCGTGTATATATATGTAACATGATGAAGTAAAAATAACACCAGTAAAAACAAAATTTAAAAGAAGTAAATTTTGTTTTGGTTGTTTCATCCTATGAAATAACATATAAAACATTATGTTCTTCATGTATTATTTTTTTCAAAATCAGAACCGTTTATACTTTTTTTTTTATATTCTCTTTCAACTTTTCCTTTTTGATGCTGAGCAGCCATTTAATACTGCTTCTGTCTCTTTATTTTATTTAGAGAGCAATTTTGCAGATATTCACCTGTCTTATATCAAGTGGGTGCCTTACCTGGCTGACCCAGATATTCCTATTTAGATAGGTAGATCAGTGATACATACTGTGGATTCATTATTATTAGTTTGGTACCAATTGTCATGGATTTCGTGGGTATGGACGATTCATTAATTTTCAAATGTTCAACAAACTATAAACTTCTCATAAGATTGTATGCAAACTATGGCAAAACCATGATTTCAAATATCAACGAATATATATTTTTTCTTAGATCCACCAAGATTGGTACACACGAAAATAAATGAATCCACAGAACATTGTTACAATTTTTTTTTACAATTTTTGTCGAGCCTGTAACTTCTGTCGCAGAAAGCGAGACATAGGGATAGTGATCTGGCGGACGCTTGGTTAACTAACTATTTAAAAGCTTAATATTTCAGAAGGTAGAAAACCTGGATGCTTCATACTCTGTATATAGATGCCTTATGTTATGAAGTTTCCGTCTGTCATATGTCTATTGTCCTTGATCTCATTTTCATGGTTCAGTGACTACTTGAAAAAAATGTAAGATTTTTTGTAATGTTAATTTCTCTCTTATTATGGAAAATAGGAAAACTATATTTGGAATGTGCATACCTTGCAAGGTCCTCATGCTGGTCAGACAGTTTTCACTTGACCTCGACCTCATTTCATGGATCAGTAAACAAGGTTAAGATTTCATGGTCAAGTCCATATCTCAGATACTATAAGCAATAGGTCTACTATATTTGGTATATGGAATGATTGTAAGGTGTACATGTCCAACTGGCAGGTGTCATCTGACCTTGACCTCATTTCCATGGTTCAGTGGTTAAAGTTAAGTTTTTGTGTTATGGTCTGTTTTTCTAATACTGTATGCAATAGGTCAACTGTGTTTGTTGTACGGAAATATTTTACGATGTACATATCAGTCTGTCAGGTTTTATTGGACCTTGACCTCATTTTCATGGTTCATTGCTCAATGTTAAGTTTTTGTGTTTTGGTCTGTTTATCTTTATCTATGAGCAATAAGTGACATGGGTCAACTATATTTGGTATATTGAATGATTGTAAGGTGTATATATCTGTCTGGCAGGTATCATCTGACCTTGACCTCATTTTCATGGTTCATTGGTCAATGTTAAGTTTTCCTAGTTAAGTTTATTTCTTAGATACTATAAGCAATAGGTCAACTATATTTGATGCATGGAATGATTTTAAGGTGTACATGTCTGTCTGGCAGGTTCTTCTGACCGTGACCTCATTTTCATGGTTCATTGGTCAATATAAAGTTTTCATGGTTTGGTCTGTTTCTTGTATACTATAAGCAATAGGTCAACTATATCAGGTGTATGGAATGATTGTAAGGTGAACATGTATTTCTGACTTGGTTTATCTGACCTTGATCTCATTTTCTTGGATCATGTTAAGTTTATGTGATACTTGTAGTAAAACTTTATATTTAGGACTATCAACATAAAATCAATGGTCAGTAAAGGAGGCGAGACATTTCAGCATGTGCACTCTGATATTGTTTAAATATATTGTTATATTTTTATCCCAAATGCTTTCATCTTTAAATATTGTTATTTGCCTATACCATGCACTTTATTTTCTTGTTTTATTTATTTTATTCTCAGTTATTTTACGACTCTTTACATCAAACACAATTACAATAAAATTTGTTACTTTTTTCAGTCTTTTTCTTTTTGTTCATGTTTCATGTTGATAGTATGGAACAAAAATGCATTTTTACTTACAACTGAAGGTTTGATAAGTAATTACAAAATTCAAAAGTTGACATTGAATGACAATACTGAGAAGAAACTATGTTCACCAGCCATGAATTATAATACACGTGACAGACCTAATATCAGGAGATTCTTCTTGTGATTTACTTTCTCCTTAAAAATACCATAACATTTTCTCCATATGTATTTTTAAAGCTTGGCAGAGACATGTATAGTAAATATGTCTCTGAGCTGGGTGACCTTTTTAATATGAGGAAAGGAGTATGTTTGATAAGTGCCATATTATTAAGTTCAATGTTTCAAGATAAAAAATGTTCTAAGCTGATGAAAAGACATGTGAGATGGTTAAATAGAATTTTTTTTTGTCCAAGTTTTATTTTAAGCGTTCGTTTTTACATCCAAAATAGGCCAAAAATGAAGATTTTGGAGAATTTTGACAAAATTGTCCAGATTTCAACCAGATTAAGGCATAGGAAACATAGAGTGCAGGCATCAACAAACTAAATATTCAAGTGAGATATGTAAAATGTTATAACAAACATTATTTGAAAAGATTTTTGTGGTTAAGGCATGCGCTCCATGTTTCATATCCCCAAAAAATGGAAATTTACCCTTTTTCATTGAATTTTCGTGGAAAATCAAAATGAATGCTATTTGTGACATCATGAATAGAACGCAAGTACATCAATTTTCATCAAAAAGACATAACTATTAAGTCATTGTATTGGCTATGATTCATTGTGATATTGGCCAATAAATCCTGATTTGAAATTGTAGCTTTTAACAGGGGCCATTTTAGGGCCTTATCGAACCTACTCCTTTGTCGCTCCAGACTAGAGAATCACATAATTTTTATATGAAATATTTTGTCAGGAATAATGAATTCCAAAACATTTAAACAAGATGTTTTCTTAGTCTAATGCTCTTGAGGTTTGATATGCAGATGCATATGTTATAGTTATGCCCCCTTCATCAAAGTAAGTTGTGATAAGACAACAGGCAACCAAAAGACAACATGACCAGAAAGTAGATATACAAAGGTACCGGTATATGATTTTTGTCTCACCTGCGAGGAAAGTTATAATAGCAAGACAGGGATTACAATCTAGTGGCACAGGTGACATTGTAAACTATTTGTATAAAGCTTTATATTTCAGAAGATGGAAAACCTGGATGCTTCATACCTATGCAGATATCTTATGTTACAAAGTTTCTGTCTGTCATATGTCCATTGTCCTTGACCTCATTTTCATGGTTCAGTGACTGCTTGAAAAAATATTACATTTGTTTGTCAAGTGAAATAATCACTTATTATGAGTAATAGGATAACTATAGTTTGTAAACTTTGTATATTGGTTCCTTGCAAGGTCTACATGTCCATCAAGTAGGGGTTCACTTGACCTTGACCTCATTTCAATGATTTCATGGATCAGTGATCAAGGTTTAAGTTACATGGTCAAGTCCGTATCTCAGATACTTTAACCAATAGGTCAACTATATTTGGTGTATGGAATGATTACTTGAAGATTTCATGACCTTGACCTCAATTTTATGGTTCATTGAACAATGTTTAGTTTTTGTGGTTTGGTCTATTTCTCAGATACTATAACCACTAGAGCCACTATATTTGGTGTATGGAATGATTGCAAGGTATACATGTGCGACTGGCAGGTTTCATCTGATCTTGACCTCATTTTAATGGTTCATTGGACAAGGTTTAGTTTTTTGTGTTTTGGTCTATTTCTCAGATACTATAAGCAATAGGACAACTATATTTGGTGTATGGCATGATTGTTAAGTGTACATGTCTGTCTTGCAGGTTTATATGACCTTGACCTCATTTTCATTGTTCATTAGTCAATGATAAGTTTTTGTGCTTTTGTCAGTCTATCAGATACTATAAGCAATAGGTCACCTACATTTGGTGTATGGAATGATTGTAAGGTGTACATGTCTGTCTGGCATGGTTCATCTGACCATGACCTCAATTTTATAGAATATTGATAATGTTAAATTTTATGTGATACTTGTAGTAAAATCTTCATATTACAGACTATCAACTTAAATTCATTCATAAGTAAAGCAGGCAAGACAGCATGTGCACTCTTGTTACAGTATGTCTCATGATGTGCTATTACAACACTGATCCAGGTTACAGGGAGGGTTGAGTGCTCACAAATATGTGTAACCTTTCAACATTCTGTAAGTCAGGAACCTGTAAAACAGTTGTTGTTGTTGGTTGCTGTCTGTTATATTTCTTTCATTGTGTATTGTTTTGTCATAAATCAGGCTTTTGTTTTTGTTTTTTTTATTGATGCACACTTTGTCTTGTCAGAGCCTTTCGTAGCTGACTATACTGTATGGATTTCTTCTCATTTGTTGAAGGCTGTACAGTGACCTATAGTTGCTTAATCCACATAATTTGGAGTCTGTTGGATTATTGTCTAATTGGCAATCTAGTATGGTTTGGTTTCTGAAAAACCCATCTTTCAAGACAATAACTCCTAAAAGGGGTCAATTTATGATTTTGGACATGTTGACTAGTTTGTAGATTTCTCTCTATTGTTGTTTTTGCAAAAATCATCTTTTAAGGGCAATAACTCCTATAATGTGGGGGGGGGGGGGGTTGTAGATCTTATTTTGCTGGACATTTTATTGTTTACAGTTTCTATCTATCTATCATGGTTTTCTGCAAAAACAGGTAAAATCATCTTCATAGGCAATTACTCCAATAAGGGTTCAATTGACGATTCTATTAGTAGGCTTATTTGTAGATGTTATTTTGCTGTACTTTTTTGTTTTTTACAATTTCTCTCTATTTTAGTATCTACAAAAAATGCAAAACAATAGGTAAAAAAAAGGGGGCAATTACTCTTACAAAGTACAATTGATGATTTCGTCAATGTTGACTAATTTGTAGTTAGTATAGTTCTGGTCAGTTTTAAATGTCTAATGACCAAACACTTTGAAATTTGCACAAACTACTACTACTACTAGGGGGTGCTTAACGACTTTGACTCGCACGGTCGGCTTGGTGCCTGAACTGAGGTGTTTGGTGAGCATTAGAATGTTGTTGTTGTAAAGTTGGAATAAGGCGGCCATTTTGGTTTTGCGTGGATTGATTTGGTTTTTTGGCTATTTTGGTTTGGTTAGAGATTTTTTGTACCGAGTGTCGATAGTTAACCCCCCATTGACAGAAACAAGTGCCTGTGATTTCACCCCTGTTTTCATGATTTCTAGCAATAGCGGCTGTGTTTGTTGGTGGATCAAATACGCGGATACAATTTGTAAACTAGTAAATATAAGGAACCTGCAGGTAAAGTTTGGTAACATTTGGCACAGTAGTTTCAGAGGAGAAATTTTTTTACGACGACAAGCACAAAGCGATGGCAAAAGGGAAGGAAGTTACTAAGGGACATTAAAAACCCAAAAGTAATGATAAGGTGAGTTTTTAGAATCTGTAAATCGTTTTTGCAAGAGAATTATTTTACAGTGACAAGAGACATCTGACCTTAACCTCATTTAAATGCTTCATTGATAAACATTATGACATCGTGATTAGATATCATTTCAGTTATGAGCACTAAGTCGTATATTTGGCCTATTGCATTATTGTTAGGTGTATATTCTATTTGTTAACGTATATTTGTTCTGCCTAACAGAAGTTTCACTGGAAACTTTGTTATAAACAATGCCATAATATATGTTCCTGTACGTTGGAACAATATTCTATAATCTTAATCCCGTCAGTTCCAGAAATAATAATGATTACAGAATATTTCTTTTATTTGGAACTTATATTACCTGGGACATAATATATTGTTAATATAATAGTCCAAGATATTACGAAGGAAATTCTATTTCATTATGCAGCCATTTAACAGGGTTCATTTTAAGTTTAGGCTCATTTAGATGGTCCAATGTCCAACAATAAGTTATAGTGATTTTGTTTAGCTATATCGTGATCTCAAAGGCAACACAAAGTCGAAAAGAAAAAAGACTGAAAGACAACAGTCCACAAAACACTACACAGAAACTGCAGATTGAACAAGAATTGTTTTATGCCATGCTGGATGAATGCAATAAAATGAGACCTAAGGATATATTGATCAGGCAATGATGGTCATATATCTTACGTGAAACGAGCTGAATAATCTATATGTGATATACAGATCAGTAGCGGATTCGGATATGGGCCGAGAGGATGTACGTCCGCCGCGGCCCCCATCCATCTTTGATTGGAAAATTTATATTTTTTGGCCTGTAATCGCCAAAAACATTTCAAACTGGTACACTCAGTACAATTTTTACCATTACAGACAACTATGCCCGCCCTTTCCTCGAATCCTAGATCTGCCCTGCAGATGCCTTGTTGTTTTATGTTTATGCCATTTGTCTGTTCTTTCGTATTTCAATGACCACATAAAAATGAATAGGTTTCAAGTTATTTGAGAAATACGTCAAATAATTTAGGTATGTAGAATCGCCACAAGGTAGACGTGTCTGTCCCACAGGGTTCATCTGTCCTTCTCATTTTCTTGACACAGTGGTCAATATGTATTGTTATTCATTCTGTCACTGAGGAAACCACCATTTAACTTTAAAGCTCTAATTGTTTTTTTTACATATTGGTTGTCATTTTTTTTCAACATATGGACAGATGGACATATTTTTTTTCAACTACAATCAAACCAAATTCGTTTTTATACGCCCGTTTACGGGATGTATTATGGTATACCGTTGTCCGTCCGTCCGTCCGTCGTCAACATGTCGGACAATAACTCGAAAACGCTTTAACCAATTTGCATGAAACTTTGGTGAATTGTTTATATCTATTGATGTTAGCTCCCTTTCGATTTTTATAATTTTAGATTTTACGTTCACTTTCCGGGTTTTATTCATTAAAAATGGGGGATTTTCTAATTTTCGGACAAAACTCAA